GCTATATAGCTCAGTGCCCTGAAACCCACAGGGCCAGGGAGGGCTGTGCAGATGGCAGGCCAGCCAATAGGCCCCAGGTCACAGAGCGTTCCTAACCACTTAGGGCTCCTGCATCCAGAGAAGGGGGTTACTTGGAGACCATTAGTTTTAACTCCCTGGGTTTGGTTTTGCATCCCTGGTAGTGCCTAGCCCAACCAAACCAGCTCAGTAAAGGTTGATTTTGCATTAAGCAGATATTGGAGTGCCCCTCCCCATTAACCTTTCATTTCACACATGAGGCGCTGAGGCCTTGAGCCCTCCTGATGTCATAGGCTGTCAGTCCTAGTTTCTTAGCATCAGACCTCAGAGAGGCAGGCAGCTAGTTCTTTAGTTTATAAGGCAGAGCAAGAGAGAGAAAGAGAGATAGAAAGAAAGAGAGAGGGAGGGGGGAGAGAGAGAGAGGGAGAAAGAGAGAGAGAGAAAGAATCAGTCTTCCATGTGCTAGTTCACTCCCCAAATGCTCATGAGAGCCAGGGCTGGGTCAGGCTGAAACCAGGAGCCAGGAACTCAATCCAGGTCTCCTATGTGCGTGGCAGGGACTCAAGTACTTGATCAATCACTTGCTGCCTCCCAAGGTGAGCGTTAGTAGGAAGTGGAAATGAAGAATCAAGCTGAGAATTTAAGCCATGTACAGGATGCAGGTGTCCCGCTCCTCCAAATGCCTGCCTTGGAGGTGGGGGATGAGGAGTGGGGAGGGTGATATTTTTGTTTTGTTTTGTTTTGTTTTTGACAGGCAGAGTTAGACAGTGAGAGAGAGAGAGAGAGAGAGAGAGAGAGAAAGGTCTTCCTTCCATTGGTTCACTCCCCAAATGGCCTCCATGGCTGGCGCGCTGTGTAGATCCGGAGCCAGGAGCCAGGTGCTTCTCCTGGTCTCCCATGCGGCTGCAGGGCCCAAGCACTTTGGGCCATCCTCCACTGCACTCCTGGGCCACAGCAGAGAGCCGTTTGATTGGCCAGTGCCATGGCTCACTAGGCTAATCCTCCACCTGCGACGCCAGCATTCCACGTTCTAGTCCCAGTTGGGGCACCAGTTCTGTCCCGGTTGCTCCTCTTCCAGTCCATTGAACCAATGGAAGGAAGACCTTTCTGTCTCTCTCTCACTGTCTATAACTCTCACTAACTCTGCCTGGCCAAAAAAAAAAAAAAAGTAGCTGATTACATCTTGACAAGTAATAAATGCATTTTTAAATTAGGAAAATATGAAAACAAAATTAGCTACAATCTCATTACCTAGAGACAAATACCTCTGATATTTTCCCATTTTCTCTGTCTCAGTCCTCGTGAAGGAGTGCTCTACTTCTTTCCACGTTTCTGTGAGGATTAGGGGGAGAGCACGGGGAGCTTGTGCTTTTTTAACCTTTTAGCTTCAAGTATTATTGGGGTAAACATGCGTAAGTGTGTTTGTGTATATACTGTATACAACTAACTGGGGTATGCCTTTTAGAATATATACCTTCATATTTAACATCAACATGTAAGAGGGGGCTTCAAACAATTCATTAAAATGCATATAAAAAAACTATGCATGGATTTCAAAACTTTTTGTACCAAAATTAAACTTACCTTTAATTCCATTTTCCATGAACTTTATGAACTCCCTTTGAATATATTTGACCCGTGTCCGGTAATTATTACAATCATGCTTACAATGAGCTTCCTGTCAAACTCAGTGTCTTAAACCAAAAATCAGTTGTTGCTCACGCTTATGGGAGCAGGCTGGGTGCCTGATCCAGGCTGGGCTCTGCTGATCTGGGCTGGGCTCACCCTGGACGTGCAGCTCTGGCTGTGAGTTGGGTTATCTCTGAGGTCCAGGTTGAAGGGGCAGCAGCTGCCCAGAGAAGCTCTTCTCTTTTCGCTTACAGGGGTCAGGGGACAAGCCCAACAGGGAAGCACTTTTCCAAGCCTCTGCCTGTGTCTTGTCCAGCAACATCTCATTGGCCCAAGTCAAAGCATGCTTGACGTATTCCACCCAACATGACACCAAAATAAGTCACCTGGTCAGACACCGTCACTGGGTCAGGTGACGGGAAAGAGAGGGAATGTGTTTGAGAATAATACGTGTAATCCACTGCACGTTGAGTTTTAAATACAATCTGCTCAGGATTCACTTGGCCGGTGTCATGATATGGTGAGAACACAAGTAAGGGGCCAGCATTGTGGCATAGTGGGTTAAGCCACCACCTGTGATGCCAGCATCCCATATGGGCACCGGTTCAAGTCCTAGCTGCTCCACTTCTCATCCAACTCCTTGTTAATGGCCTGGGAAAGCAGTGAAGCAGTGGACGATTACCCAAGTGCTTGGGTCCCTGCAGGCATGTGGGAGACACAGATGAAGCTCCTGGCTCCTGGCTTTGATCTCGCCCAACCTCAGCCATTGTGGCCTTTCAGGGAGTGAACCAGTGAATAGAAGATTTATCTTTCTCTCCCACTCTCTGTAACTCTGCCTTTCAAATAAATAAATCTAAAAAAAATAAAGTGCATGTAAGAGGGAGCACTCACATTCTAAGATAGGAAGGCAGGGCAAGGAGCGTCCAGGCCTGCTCTTTTTAATAACAACATTTTTGCCAGAAGTAACCAAGGTGTCCCCTAGGAACTACCTTAATTCCGTCCAAGGACAGTGTCCTCAGTGATCTCCCACAAGACCTCACCTCTTAAGAGGTTCTACCACCTCAACCTCACCATGCTGGGGACCACGCCTCCAGCCCATGGACCCTTGGATGGACACGCATCTCATGCCTTGATTTCCCTCAGAATTATCCACTCAAATGTGCACAGAAGATTTTGTTGGACATTTGGTATGGCAAAAGCATTGTATCTCTTTTTATATTTCTATGTTGCTTGCACCCACTGTGGGTTCTATTTGTGTCCTAACCCTTACACAGTCTCTCAAGTCAAAGCTTGCTGAAGAAGCCACTGTGGCCTCAGAAACTGATAGTTTTTTCTTGGCTGAACCATACCTTTGTGCAATTTGACTCAGCTTCTTCAAATTCATTCAACATAGATGTACTGAGTACTGTCTCCTCCCCATGATGAATTTATAATCTAGCATGGGAAATTATAATTGGTTGCAGGGGACTGTCATGCACTGTAGGTTGTTTAGCAACATCCTTGGCCTCTGCCCATCAGTAACACCAGCTTACTCTTCCTTTGAGTTATATATAAGCAAAATATCACTAAACATTTCCAGATATCTTTTGGGGACAAAACTCAGCTAGTTTGTGAACCACTACTCTATCATATAGCACCCTTGGTAAGACTTCGATGAGCCAACATCGTGTGCTAAGAAATATTCCGGGCAGGCTGATGTTATTTCCTGGTGGTCAATCTAGGAAAGCCTCAGGGCCTAGGAGGCCTCTGCATGGAGACTTCAGGAATGGTTAGGGTTTGAGGTGTGTTTCCTGGAGGAGGGAGAAGCAAGGATAGATAAGGAGTAGTCCTGTTGACTAAGACATCAAGTGAAACAGGCATGCTAGTGAGACTGGAGTCAGATATGTACTAGCAGGCTGAATACTGTCAGACCTTATAAATTGTGCTCAGATTTCCACTGTCACTCTGGGTGAGATGATGAATGAATCTGAAGCCGTGTGCATCCTGACATTTGGATGTATGGTTTGTCTTCTTAGTGCAAACTAATTGCTCCCGACTCCCATCCATCCAGCGGTCACTTTTCTGACACCCTGGAGGAAACAGGAAAGGACTCTGGGGCGTAAGGCATCCCTAAATGAGCCCATGCCTCTGCCTTGCTGCTTCTTACCTCCCAGGCGACTCACTCTGAGCACCTTATGAGTCCAGTGGATTTCAGTATAAGTTCCCATGAGTGGATCAGAAGGTGGAAGAGGAGAAGGGGTGTAGACAGGCTGCAGCAAAGCTCCAGCATGACAGAGCGGACAGGGGCCAGATGCAAACATGAGTGAGTGAGTGAATGAGTGAGTTTGTGAATGAACAATTATTACCAAATAGCTCAGGAGGCACCACAGCCAGGAGCCCTCTCTAGCGTCTCCCTCTATGACCCGGCAGACATTGCTGTGTAACAGTGCCACCCTCGTATGCCAGCACACACAGGGTCGCACAAGGCAGGGACTATGTGACACATTGCAGAAGCCCTGAGCTGAGAGCACAATGTTTAGAGCTGCCCTAAATCCTTGCTTCAGGGCTCTGTAACAGTGAACCCATTACTCAGCCTTGCCAAGTCTTACCGTGATCTTCCTGTAAAATGAGGGTTCCCTACTCACAGGGTCTTGGGAAGATGAAATAGAACCGTCCCTGTGAATTCTTAGCTTCATTCCTATGGCAGAGTGACCACACCGTAAAAGCTGGTCACTGTCACTTTCCTTGCACTGAGAAAATAAAGGTGCCAAGACTTTCCCCAAATCCTAGCTGTCATTCCCATTCCAGAATATTCCCAGAGCCTCCTGACAATGCTGAATCTTCCATTTCAGAAAACATAATAGTTGTAAAAGCTGAGGAAAGGTCCAGAAGAGTAGGGGCGGTTGCATCCATTTGCCCCAACTGGCTTCTTTTTGGCAGGAGAAATTAGGCCACTGAGAGACAGGACAGCAGCCCTTTCTTGGTGACAGAGTCTCTTTGTGCAAGACTGGCTCTTCTCTGGCCAAGCGGAGAGCAAGCAGTTACTCTGAGACAGCCGAGGGAATAGGCAGCGGTTTTCTTTCAGCTGTGATGTCCTATGCTATATAGAAGAGCCTCCCTCTGAATGGGAAATGGGTGGGTTAAGAGGCTTGGAGGCTGGGGGCTGCAGACAAGAGGAGGTGGTGCCGGTGGCTTTCCTTTGACTGGGGTCCACCCAGACTTGGAAACAGAGGACGCTCTGTAATGTAAAACCTTGGCCTGGTTCCTCAGCATAATGTAAAACAGAGACTGCCAGGAAGGTCCAAGTCGCTGCTCGCCTGCCCGTGGATGGCAGGACAATAAGGCAACTTGTCTTCTCTTTGTGTGTTTTCCAGGCTGGAGCAGGAAATACAGGCGCTAGAAAGCGAAGAGTCCCAGATATCTGCCAAAGAGCAAATCATCCTAGAGAAACTCAAGGAGACAGAGAAATCCTTCAAGGACTTTCAGAAGGTGAAGAAAACAAACCTGATTTCCCTAAATGAAATCCAAGGGGGAAGTAAGGCCTAGAAAAATGGCACCCGCTGGAGAACAAGCCAGAGGGTATTGATGAGAGATCTGGGCCATGGACACCTTGACATGAGGGACAGGTGTGTGAGGCCCAGGTGCTGCCCCAGTGCTGGAAGTGGCCTATCTTCAGGTGCCTGGCTGAACACCTCACTGCTGGGAAGACTAAAGAGCCACTAAATTAACCCCATCTACCTGTTGTCTTGACCCCTTCTGCACCTAGTGCATGAAAAGCCTTCTCCTGTTGGACTAGGAATCTAAAGCCAATTCCTATGAAGCAGATTAAACATGTTCCCTAAGGCTTTAATTATGCTGTGTTTTTTTAGTCTTTCCTTTGTTAAAAAAAAAAAAAAAAAGGCTAGAAGCAACACCCTATGGACCAGATGTGAATTCTAAATATGAATAGTGTCAACAGAGGACATTTTTACTGTGTGTAAAACACATGGTGTTGTGTCGCCAAGAGTAGAAAATCCAAAAAGCCAACAGGTTCTGAATGTATCAGGACCCTCCCACCATCTAGCTGCTGTGTCCTCCTTACACCCACACTTCTCCGGTTCAACCAGGGCTGTTTTCTGGAGAACTAAAGTCGATCTCTATTGGGAGAAATCTGGCACAGCGTGGGAATGGTAACTTATTCCCTGACATTTTGGGATCCTGAACAAATGTCTCAGAAGAAGAGGACATTGAGTTTGCTCCCTTGTAGTGAAATTCTGGGCTTGGGCTGGCACAGGGTTGGGGGTGGGGTGGAGACTGGCTGACTGACGCGCGAGTGCACCCACCCTTGTGTGGATAGTAACACCCTGCCCTGCTTTTGTCTCCACAGAGCTTCTCCAACACGGATGGAGGTAAGTGCACTCTGCCCCAGCTGTAGGCGAGAGTTCTTGCATTCCAGCTTAGCGAGTTTCACTAACACAGGCTCTGCACAGGGACGTGATGTGACGGTTGGCTGGGGTGTCTGCAGGAAGGGACAGTGCCATTGGCAGGGCTCGGGAGAGCCACATTGCCTTGGGGAGCTGGGGATGCCACATGGAGAGGAGAGCAGGCTTCCCTGGTGCACAGGAAGGCCTGAGACCCTCCACGTGACCAGCAAGAATGCTTAAAGTAGCAGGCGGACCCACAAGCATCTGCGTTCCCAAGACTTCTGTCTGAGAAGTAGGGAAGGGAAGGAGCCTGCCTGCTGTGCCCTTGAGACGGCTGTGTGGGCATGGAGACCCCGTCATTTGTGACTGGGTAGCAGGCAGAGATGAAGCCATGTTCTCTCTCTCACCACCCTCTCTTTCCTTTCACCTTGAACTTCTCTTGTCTCCTCCTGAGTTCCTTCCCACCATGGCCAACCCGCTCACCTAAGCAGATCGCGGATGTGGGACAAATGCTGGTCAGGGTTGAAGATGGCCAGTGGAGGAGGTCACCCTTGACTCTGTCCCCCATCACTGTTTGCCAAGGAAGAGTGAGCTTGGGCTTAAGACGTTGTAAAAGTCTTGGGGATTGGGGACTGGCGCTGTGGCATAGTGGGTTAAGACTCCACCAGTGGTGCTGGCATCCCATATGAGCACCAGTTTGTGTCCTGGCTGCTCCTCTTCTGAACCAGCTCCCTGCTATTGTGCCTGGGAAAGCAGTGGAGCCCCTGTACCCACATGGGAGACCCAGAAGAAGTTCCTGACTCCTGGCTTTGGATCGGCCCAGCCCCAGCCATTGTGGTAATTGGGGAGTGAACCAGTGGATGGAAGACCTCTCTCTCTCTCTCTCCCTCTGCCTGTCTGTAACTCTGCCTCTCAAATAAATAAATAAATCTTTAAAAACAAAAAGTCTTGGGGATCCCAAGGAAGAGATTCCATGGTATCACCTGTCATCCTGGATTGTGATTCTTGCCATCCGTGGTCACAGCTAAACCTGGGTGACCTCTCTGTCAACGCCACTGCGACCAGTAAGGAAGTGTGGTTCAAGAATGCGCTTGATGCTGGGCCACACTGTGGTCTGGGAGTGTAATCTGAAGCATGTGCCAGTGAAGGGACTTTGGGTTAGGGTTGGGGTTAAGGGTTGATTGGGGTTAGGGTTAGGATTAAGGATCTCTCTCTTGCTTTCCTCATTCTTCTATTTCCAAGGCTGGGAGCTGCCAAGACCTTTCAGAATCCCCAACTGTTGTTGCTAAGAACTAACAAAAGCTTATTATAGAATAACGATGCCTTAAGAAAAACCTTCAGTTGCTGAGACATATGAATTCTAGAATCTAGGTCTTTGGATTCTGTTAACTGTGCAGATGCTGCAGTTAATGAACAAACACCTCCTTAACTTAGGAAATACCAAAGAAATGGCTGCTGGTGTGTGTGTGTGTGTGTGTGTATGTGTGTGTGTGTGCCATGGCCCCTCCTCAGGTGCTCTATGCACGTCTCCCTATGCGTCGTCTCAGCGGGAATAGCTGTGCTGCACTGCCGGGTCACCACTGGGTTTGAACTGTGTGGTAGTACTGACAATAGGAGCAAGGGCAGCCGGTCTGGACTAGAATTTCCTGACTGTGTACATTCTGATGACCCTCTGCCATCATACTCTTGTTCTACAGTAGAGCCCCCATGAGTTGGGAGAGTTGTTTTCATCACCTTAGACTGGCACAGGGTCCTGTGTAACTACAAATTGCATATAGCCTGTATCTAGTAAAAACTCTATTCTTTACTCACTGTGGAGCTGGCATGAAATCCCCTGGCCAAAACAGGCAAAGGCGAGCCTGTCTGGGCCTCCGTTGATCCTTGCTATATGATACTCATCTTGGGTTTTCATCCCGTGCCAGCCTGTGGTGGCCTGGCACCTTCCCATCAAAACCTTGGTAGCAAAGATTGGGAAATCTCCATCTTCAGTTGCCTGTAAGTCCTGTTGTCAGGGGACCTTTCATCGGTTGGGTTCCTCTGTCTTTAGCTGCAGGTGTCCTTCGTAGCTGCTGTGAATATTTCAGCCGTGCTGGAACTAAGCGGCAGTCATCTCCAACTTCTGCTGTGACTGGCGCCCCACCTTCTGTTATGGTAGAGAGGGTCCACCTTGACTTCAACAGGGAAAGACCAGGTTATGGACTGAGGCCACAGGAAGCAATGTTCCCATGGAAGATGCGGAGGCCCTGTTTGTTATTCCTGGTGCTAATGTGTCAGATACTTCCTGGCTGCATAACCTTAGGGTTTATTGAATATTTGGTGATACATGGGAAGGGGCAGCCCTGCCTACCTCCTTATGTCCTGGCCTGCCTCCACTCCCTCATCTCAGCAGGATCCTGCTGCCCCCACCCTCCAGGAGCTTTAGCCTTCAAACTTGTAGCCAGTGAGTTTGGGGCAAGGGTGTCTCCATCAGCCGTGCACATCTGGAGCTACCTTCTGGAGCTAGATACACTCTAAGCTGTATGCGCCATCGAATTTACCAGGCATACCTGTGACTGGTCTGTGAGACCTCCCTGGGTCTTGATGGCTGGAGCCTTCATCACAGACGAATGTACATACATTTTACTGAGATCTGATGCCACAGATTTCTAGAAATCCGCAGAGGAACTTGGAAGTTCTGCAGATATGCCCTGCTTCTCTCCTGTACTCCCCCTCTTGTCCCAGATTGCTGCTTTGTCCCATGGATTTGCTGTTACTGGTCTGTCCTCACCCTTCGAGACCGGCTTACCTCAATCTGCCCTCTCTCTGGTCCTGCCTTGTGCTGGTTGGTGCACAGACTCAAGGAAGGAACTGGATCCCATGGAGCCCAGCTTTCTAGAGTCTTCCTGCTTTAATTTTCCCACTTCCCTTAGGGGGTGCGCAGATTCTTCTTGTCTCACCCCAGTGGTTTCTTCTGCACACCTGCTCATGTTCAGGCTGGCCAAGGTCTCACCTCCCTAAATGAGATTGTTAGGTGTCTGCCCAAGGAAAACACAGCAGAATTTCCTGCAGTTGAACCAATGGCGAACTCACTGGGTGTTGTGATTTGGAATTTCTAGATTCTCTGGCTGAAATATTAAATCCTGGGATCAATTCTGAAGTTTTTTTTTTTGTCTTAATACATATAAGATTGATCTTCTGAATTAATCAGGCATGAAAATCTGTATAAATTCAGAAAACGAGTCTATTTTCAGTACTATATAACACACATTTCTGGTGCCATGTTCTGTATCTGACCAATCCCATCAAGCTGGTAACGCCTCTCACCAGCCCATCTCTTACATCTGCCCTCCACCCCCTGAACCCATTGACCTCTGAGAATCTAGAGCTTTCTGATGACTCCCCTGATACACAGAGCAGTCCTGGGGTTTGAGCTCTCTGGCCGGGATCCGTCCTGCCTCAGCTACTCTGCTAAATACCACTCACTGGGCAAATGCTAGCCTTTGTTTATTCTGATCCTCTGGTTCAGTGGCCGCCGCAGCGGTCCATTATGTAGGGCAGACAAGCTGCTGTCTCGGCAGAGAACCCATTGGGCCTTCCAGCACTGAGCCTAATTGTGTTCCCTGTTCTCTGCTACCAGATGCAGTAACTTACATTTCCTCCCAGCTCCCCAACCTGCCAATCCTCTCTTCACGAACAGCAGAACTGTCACCTGGGCAGGACGGGACCAGCAGAGCAGCTGGTAAGTCCTGGGGAGCCCTTTGGTTTTTATGCCAGGACTATCCAAGGGGGCTTGCATTTCTCTGAGCTTGATTAATGATAGGGGCGCCCTGATATCCTTATGTAGGGTACCCCTCCTCCAGCCCAGCCCCAGACACAGCATGTACAGTGGCCACACAGGGACTGTGTAGAAAAGTCCTGTGCATTCCCCTGACGTGTACTTGAGAACCCAGCGGGAGGAAATTTTGCCTCCAGTTCTGGGGGAGTCTTTGTCCCATGTTCCTGGTCTTTGTATTTGTCTTTATTCTCAAAGCCAATCTGATTGTTATACTCTGCCTCCAGGAATTTTTGTTTTTCTCATTGGGTTTGCACAGACCAAAAGCGCTATGACGGAAACTGGGTCAAAAGTATCTTCTAAACATATGCATCCTGCGGCAATGGAGCTGTCTGTGAATAGTATGAATATATCTTCCCAGGACATCTCATTTCTGGAGTTATTCCTTAACTATGTTGGTGTATTTTGAGGGGAGGGTGAAGGAGAACTTGCTAATGTTTCTCACATTTGTAGATTTTATAAAAGAAGACATTTGTAGGTATAGAGTATGGAGAAGGCCATGTTTCACTCTGTGGATTGCAAATGTACCCCGGAGATCAGAACTGGAAGGTTTTAAATGATAAGACTCTACAACAACCCATTTGCACTATGCAGAAGTGCACTGCGAGGGTTAAATGAAAAATGAACAGTTGCACAGTTACTGCCAATGCAGGTGAACTCAAGTATGAGGACCTAGGCTATGCTTTACATATTCTACATAAGTTTATATTTAAAATAAATCGCACGGTGACACCTATTACAAAACAAAGCGAACATGGACTTTAAAGCCATAGGGAAGCTCTTATGTAGGCCAATCTGAATATTTTATGAAGCAAATAGCTCCTCCTTATTTTACTGCAAGAGTAAAACAAAAGGCAAGTAAGTATTGACATGGTTCTCAGGCCCGCTGGCTTTGTGTTTTAATTTCTTCCCTCACATGTCATCTATCTGTGGTGAGAACACTTAGAATCTGATCTCTTAGCAATGTTTAGTATGCAATGCATTGGTATTAAAGACAGTCACCATATTGTACAATCTCTTGAACTTACCCTCCTGTCTCATGGAATTTTGTACTCTTTGACCAGCGTTTCTCCAGTGGTCCCCTACCCCAGCCCCTAGTGACTACCATTCTGCTCTCTGCTTCTGTGAGTTCACCTTGTTTAGCTTCCACATATAAGTGGGATCATGCGATCCTCATCTTTCTGTGCCTGGCTTGTTTTGCTTAGCATAATATGCTCCATGCTGTTGTAAATGACAAGATTTCCTTCTTTTTCAAGGCTGAATAGCATTCCATTGTGTATATATCACATTTGCTTTGTCCACTTGTCTATTGATGGATGCTTAGGTTGATTCTGTATATTGGCTGTTGTGAATATACTGACTAAATATCTACTGGGTATTCTGTAAACACCTTGGCATGTTACTGGTACCTACAACTCACAGAGCTCTAGCATGGGCAGGACTGTCAAGTAGTATCCAATCAAACCTCGGCCAGGGCTGGGTGTCCTTGGATAGCCTTCAGTCACACAGCAAAGGACACACTCAAAATTACTTAAACTGCAGACTGTTTTCAGTGCTCTGAGATCAACCTGGGTAACAACTGTAGAAAAGTCTCACAGTTTTCTGCTTGCTGTCAGAGACTCTGGCGTTGATAATTCCCAGTAGTTGTAGGCAAACAGATTCTCAGCTCCTCCCTAGGAGTCCCTACATCACACAGCATATGTGAAACTAATGGATCAGCTCATGGATTGAGTACAGACAGTGAATGAGAACTAATTTTATGAACTGGAAAAGGACTTAGCAATGCCAGTAGTCAAAGAATGTAGAGTTCAGTAGTAAAATATCAATGTGGTATGGTGCTCTGTAAATAGGAACACATATTCTACCCAACCTAGCGTCCTTCATATTTGAAATTACTGCAAAAACATAATGATCCAAATAGCAAATGCATTTTTAAAGTATAAGGTAATCAGAAGCTTTTAAAAAATAAGCTTGCATGTACTTTTGTTTACTAGTTAGAAACTAATTTGCATAAATGCATCTACAATGAGAATGCATAGGAGCAGTGCTGTAGAAGGAGTCGCTTGGATGTGGTTCACTCCTTGTCCATGCTCTGGAATGAGCTGTTGAGGTTCGTTATCAATTATAGTTTACAGTAAGCAGACAGAGCAAGGGTAGCCTACAACCAGTGGTACTTGTCACTACAAGTCTTCTACATAATTGTCCTTACTGAGAATCATGATAGATCTTCTAGTTGGAGTTTGGAAGTTTAGGATATTGTATAGATGAATCACAGGCATCTATTCCGATATTATTTTCAGAATTAGCAGGCATCTATTCCGATACCTTATCCAGACCTTGAACCCCTGCCCTTGCAGCCCTGCAATATGGTCCTTCCACTGTGGTCTCACTCCTCGTGGTTGGAACTCAGTCTCCCTTCAGGTGGCCCATCCCATCTCTAGCTGGTTCTGGCTACTGGGAAGTGCTTCCTGTGTTGGAGCCATCATTTGTCTGCCTTCATCTTCCCTTTGTTGGTCCTTATCATGCCTCTTGGAGTTAGAACAAATCTGAGTCTAATTTCTCTTCCAGTACTTGAAAATGACTTTCCTAGCCCCTCATTATAAATCCCCTCTACCCTCCCAGCCCTAGTTTCATCAGCTGGTCCCAAGATAATGAAATTGCTTAGGGACACAGCCTGCCATCCACGGGCCTCTCTTCTGAACACTCCCCACTTTGCCTCCAGTCTTTCTGAAGTGCTGTGCTCAGGACTGCCCAGGGCACCCTGGGGTAGGCTGATCACTCTCCGTAACAGAGCATGACACCACAGACTATATGCTGCAAGACTCTGATGCCATTTCAACTTTGTCTCTGAAGGAAGGCTTTAAAGTCATCTCCCTGTGCCCTGACTCTTATTTCCTTTCTCAGTAGAGTGGTTGCTTGAGCAGCATCCCAGCTGAAATGTGCGGTCCATTCCCCTCCATTGTGCACATCCTGCTTCACCTGCTCACACGTAGAACTTAACACGTTCTCACACGTAGAAACTTTCCTTTCTTAATTGCAAATGCCAAAAATAAGAATGATCTATGCGCCTTTCTGCCCCTTGTAGGTAAGACAAATTTCTTCCTGGTAGGCTGTCTCCCATGAGTGGTGATGATGGGGTGGGGGGGAGGTACAGTCACTGAAGAACTGGGATAGGAAGATGGGAGGGGTGGATGGTATGGGGTTTGAGTCCAGGGCTGCACTATTCTCTCTGGTTTCAAACTCAGCAGCTCTTCTATCCTTGTGTTTGCATGTTGTGTTTCTGCATCAGATGTCATTTGAATCAAGGGTCTGAGAGTTTTGAAGATGGGGAAGTCTCCTTTCTATTGTTGAGATCTCTATAACTCATGATTATAGCAACTCCCAGCCTTACTCTTCTCAGTTTAGTACCACCTCACAGCTGAAAAGCAGTCTGCCTCCTTTCACTGATGAAAAGCACTGCATGTTGGAACCAAAGCCAGAGCACTGGGGACACTCCACAAGGGGTCCCTTGGCCCTCGGTTATCCTAAAACAGCCCCTCTGCCACTTAATCATGCAACCAGTAACCAGTTCTGACAGTCATTCTGTCACCCAAGGCAATGTTTCTGTCTTGTCCACAGGGAAGTAAGGGGCTTTGTGATAGCCAGACATTGCATGCATGCACAGACACATAGTGTGAATGTGTTGCTGGCATTTGCCTACTCTTTCTAGAAACCTTGAACAAAAACATCTATATTTTTTATATTAATCTGTCTAGTTTTGCATGATGAAATGCTGGCTCTTGGTACTCTCTGATCTTGAATATTTTTTAAAAGATTTACTTATGCATTTATTTGAAAGGTGGGGGGGGGGGGAGAGATTGACCTCCAGCCACTCTTCCCCGAATGGCTACAACAGCCAGGGCTGGGCCAGCAGAATCTAAGAACCAGGAACTCCATCCAGGTCTCTCACATGGGTGGCAGAGGACCAAGCACCTTCTTTCTCAGATGCATCAGCAAGCACCTGGATCAGAAGCAAAGTAGCACTCCAATATGAGATGTCAGCTTTGCAGGGGGTGGTCTAACCTGCTGTACCAGAACACCAGCCCCTGCTCGTTGAATGTTAATGTCTTGCCATCTTGCTCCTCCCGTGTAGCTTACAATCTTCTCCTTCTCATTTTTGAAAACCAGAATTTTAAGTGCTTGCTTCCAGCACCTTTCCTGTGTCCAGCATTGTTGAGACAAAATGGGTGATAAAGCAATTGAGCGCCTTTATATTCCAGGTGCTCTATGACTTCGCGGTCTGTTCTGCTCATCTGAATAGGGCTTCAGTCCTCTCCAGCAGCATTCTTTCAGGCACTTTTCAGACTGAAAACTTTTTCTTGACCGAAAAGATAGAAGTAGAATCAGATACAAGAACTTTTTGCCTATGTTATCCATTGATATCACATCCTTGCTGACTTACAGAAAAATACAATGAAAATGTATTGTGGAGGCCAGAAGTCCAAGATCAGTGCGTGCAGGATGGATTTCAGGAGAGGGCTGTGAGGACGAGTCACTTCCATGCCTCTTCTGTTACTTTTCTACAGATCATGTATCATTCATTTATATATTTAATGTTTGGATTACTTAAAAATTGTCACCTAATTGTACATAGTTTTGAGGTACAGTGTTGTAATTCCATGCGTATACACAATGTGTGATGATCAAATCAGGGTATTAGCATTTACATCTCCATAAACGTTTATCATTTCTTTGTGTTGAGAACCTTAAGATACCTCTCTTCTAATATTTTTAGCATACGTCATGAATTGTTGTAAACTGTTGTCACCTTGCCATGCTGTGGCATGCAAAGGCATCCTGGGAAAACGATTGATTGCAAGGAATTTTTGATCACTAGTTTTTGAAATTAGAGATAGCTCTCTGGGATA